GAGTAATTTTGCTTATTTTTACATATCAGGTAAGTGCTACATTGTCACTACATCTGACATTGATAGTTTACATGTTTTTATGCCTTAAAGACATAGTTCACCCAAAAATGAAAATTCTGCCATCGTACCCTCACATCGTTTCAAATCTGACTTTCTTCTGTGCAACATAAAATATTATATTTTGAAGAATGTTGGTGAGCAAACAGTTTTGGTGATTATTCACTTCTGATATCCAAAATGGGGGGTGGGTGGTGGGCACTGACATTTCTCATAATATCTTCTTTTATGTTTCACAGAAAGAGGTTTGGAATGACATGAGGGTGAGTAAAGTTTTTTAACCATCATGAGGCATTTTGAATGCACTCACAAATACAAATATAAAAAACAAAAAGGAATGTATCACTGTCTGAAGACACTTCACATATATAACCCTAGCTGTGAAGCGACTGAAAGTAGGTCAAATCTAAACTAACGTAAACACTGCTGCAATGCTTTGTAACAAACAAATTACCAAAATGTAGAACAGTAAAAACACAAAGCACTAACCTGCACTTGCAACAAAGTTGCTGAGACAAAGAACAACCAACAACAAGAAGATGATTTGCAGAGACCTCATTGTTATTGCCTTCAGTGTACCTTAGTCAGTGTTCTCTGTCTAACACAGGAAATAAAACAACTTCTTTCTGCACTGCACAAGTGTATATATATATATGAGATCCAGCCCACAACTTCTGATATCACTGAGCTCTTTGTCAGCAAACCTCAAATGAGTGATGTCACACCAACACTTTCAAAAAAAACATTTCCAAGAGTTGCTCTTTTTAACTGTGCAAATCGAAAATTGTTCCATTCATTTAATTTATCATTTGAAGTGAAGGCACCAGAGTTACAAACAGTCCCCAGGATCAATCTGACTTCGGCTGACAGTTATGGACTCACTATGAATATTAAGTGGCAAGACAGGATGTAAAGAATGCATCATCAAATAGACTTAGGTGCATATAGGACCACCACAAATTCAAGACAGGGTCAATTAAACATCATAACCTTGTCAAACACCTGTCATCAGACCTGTACAATATTTTTTTCCCCAAGTAATCTTCACCTGGACAAGAAGGCCATAGACCCTACAGACAACTGGCCCATAAATCTTGACAGCTCCATTGCAGTTCATTTAGGAATATGTCTTAAAGCAATAGTTCCCCCCAAAAAATGAAAATTCTGTCACCAATTACTCATCCTCATTGGGTCTCACGCAACAAACAAGCACTGCTGACCTTCCGTTTACCATATTTGATAAGATCTATATATACAGTTAGGTCCATATATATTTGGACACAGGCAACATTTTTATTATTTTAGCTGTTGACAAAAACATATTCAAGTTACAGTTATACAATGAATATGGGCTTAAAGTGCAAGGGACAATAAGTAATTGGACAATTGACTCAAAAGCTGTTTCATGGACAGACGTGGGCTATTCCTTCATTACTTCTACATCAATTAAGCAGGTAAACGTTCTGGAGTTGATTCTGAGTGTGCCATTTGCATTTGGAAGCTGTTGCTGTGAACCCACATCATGCAGTCAAAGGATCTCTCCTTACAAGTGAAACAGACAATTGTTAGGCTTCAGAAACAAAACAAATCTATTAGAGAGCTAGCAGGAACATTAGGAGAGGCCAAATCAACAGTTTGGTACATTCTGAGAAAAAAGAATGCACTGGTGAGCTCAGCAACATAAAAAGGCCTGGACGTCCACAGAGGACAACAGTGGTTGATGATCGGAGAATCCTCTGCATGGTAAAGAAAAATCCTTTCACAACGTCCAGCCAAGTGAAGAACACTCTCCAGGAGGTAGACGGGTCACTGTCAAAGTCTAGAATCAAGAGAAGACTTCACAAGAGCAAATACAGAGGGTTCACCACAAGGTGCAAACAACGCCTTATTAGACTTTGCCAAAAAAACGTCTAAAAAAGCCTGACCACTTCTGGAAAATCATTCTTTGGACGGCTGAAATTAAGATCAACCCGTACCAGAATGATGGGAAGAAAAAAGTATGGAGAAGGCTTGGAACAGCTCATGATCCAGTGTGGAGCAGTGTGATGCCATGAGCATGGCTTCCAGTGGCACTGGGTTACTGGTGTTTATTGATGACGTGACAGAAGACAGAAGCAGCCGGATGAATTCTGAAGTGTACAGGGATAAACTCTCTGTCTAGATTCAGTCAAATGCAGCAGAGCTAATTGGACGGCGTTTCATAGTACAAATGGACAAAGATCCAAAACATGCAGCAAAATCAACCCAGGAGTTTTTGAAAGTAAAAAAGTGGAATATTCTGCAATGGCCAAGTCAATCTCCCGATCTCAACCCGACTGATCATCATGCATTTCACTTGCTGAAGACAAAACTAAAGGCAGAAAGACCCACAAACAAACAACAACTGAAGTTAGCTGCAGAAAAGTCCTGGCAAAGCATCAGGAGGAAACCCAGTCTCTGGTGATGTCCATAAGTTCCAGACTTCAGGCAGTCATTGCCTGCAAAGTATTCTCAATAAAATATTAAAAATACCAAAAAAAAATCATTTTTTTATTATTATATTTATTTGTCCAATTACATTTGAGCATGGCTTCCAGTGGCACTGGGTTACTGGTGTTTATTGATGACGTGACAGAAGACAGAAGCAGCCGGATGAATTCTGAAGTGTACAGGGATAAACTCTCTGTCTAGATTCAGTCAAATGCAGCAGAGCTAATTGGACGGCGTTTCATAGTACAAATGGACAAAGATCCAAAACATGCAGCAAAATCAACCCAGGAGTTTTTGAAAGTAAAAAAGTGGAATATTCTGCAATGGCCAAGTCAATCTCCCGATCTCAACCCGACTGATCATCATGCATTTCACTTGCTGAAGACAAAACTAAAGGCAGAAAGACCCACAAACAAACAACAACTGAAGTTAGCTGCAGAAAAGTCCTGGCAAAGCATCAGGAGGAAACCCAGTCTCTGGTGATGTCCATAAGTTCCAGACTTCAGGCAGTCATTGCCTGCAAAGTATTCTCAATAAAATATTAAAAATACCAAAAAAAAATCATTTTTTTATTATTATATTTATTTGTCCAATTACATTTGAGCCTCTGAAAATGAGGGGCTGTGTATAAAATGATTGTAATTCTTAAGCATTTTATGTTATATTTTTGTTCAACCCCTTGAATTAAAGCTTAAAGTCTGCACTTCAATTTTATCTTGATTGTTTCATTTAAATTCTATTCTGGTGGCATACAGAGCCAAAATTATGAAAATGTATATGGGTGATTCTTAAACTATGGGCACTTTTAACTTTGGTCATATTTATAAAAATACATATAATTTTGGACAAATTCCTCTTTAGTCAATCTAACAATAAAACCACCTTAAAATATTTTTACTACCTTTCTATTATGATTTTTTCATACTTTTCAACCTCCTTATAGGTGTCAAAATCACTGTTTTCTCCTTGTCGCACACCCAGACTTTTAAACTTCAACAATGAAAATACAGTTTAAAAATATGACTTATCGGGTAACTATTAATGTAACTGAATTAATCACTAGTAAAATAATTAAAATACATAATAGTATTTAATGAGACCACGATCAATATTACTTTTTATACAAAATATAGCTGTCACACAGTATTGGTGTCATTTCCACCACAACACTGTAATGTCCCTTTAAAAAGTTTGTGTGAAAGATTGTTTAGGTGGTTTCTATGGAAATGTTCAGTGACATCAGAGCACATGTTGGACATGGAGGGAATTACAATTTTCATCAACAACAATTGAAGAAAAATCAAGGTAAATATTGCTTGATCAGTTAATATATTTATTCTACGTCATTTCCAAATATGCTGTACCTTCAAGGGTGTTTTTAAAAAGCTAAAAATTTTAAGTTAAATAAGAGTATTTTGCATACATGAAATGCTAAGTATTAATTCAAAGCTAATCAGTGAAGCTACAAAAAAACTACAGAAATGTCATTTCCACCACACTGCCCTCTGCAAACAAAGGAGACAATGGAGAATCAATCAAAGAAATAGACGAGAGGAGATTTAAAAAAAAAAAAAGAGACCAAGAAGAAAATTTAAATGAAATGCTAAGTATTAATTCAAAGCTAATCAGTGAAGCTACAAAAAAACTACAGAAATGTCATTTCCACCACACTGCCCTCTGCAAACAAAGGAGACAATGGAGAATCAATCAAAGAAATAGACGAGAGGAGATTTTAAAAAAAGAGACCAATGAGAACATTCAGTATCAAACTCTCTCTATATAGCCTCATGATTATCTCACAATGTTGAAATTTTGATGCATCATTTATTGCATATATTTTTGCCTTGCCATCAGTTGTGTCAGTTATTTACAGCATGCACTGTAACCGTTAATCTTTGAGACAAATCAGTTTTATACATCAATCTCAGCACTTCACTAAAAACAGGTGTGGTTATGTTTAATGACTTTGTGAATTGAGTTTAATGAGTGTGATGAGTTTAAGAATTTTTCTAATAAATATCTCTACTGTTTCTCTACATTCACGTTCATTCATTGTCATTTACACAACACCCTGTCATTTCCATCACCACACACATTTTTAAAAAATATTAAAAAAGTTCTCATCACACATTAAACATGTATCCACAATTTATAGATCATGCTCTACTTAATATAAAAATTCAAGGTATTTATTTTCTAATAAGCTCTTACCCAAACCAATATTACATTTCATAGTGTGACAGGTGTACAGTTCAGCATTTGGTCCTTAGGGCAGTTCATTTATCTCATTGACAAATGTATAATTATTGTACATTGTGGAAAAACTGGTAAAACTAGTTACAAAAATGATCTTAGACAATTCTTGATTGGCATAAGTTATTCTATTTTTAAATAACAGCTGTATATTGAGATGTGGTGGAAATGACATTTGTTCATTGCAGATTGGAAAAAATGTAAAATATTTTAGGGTGGAAATTGTGCTCTGCTCTGCTCTGCTCTGTTAATTCACTTATTTTGAGTATTAATGCACACGGTTTGATTGCCGTATGACAGTCACATAGCTTGCGGCAAATGCACTTTAACGAGGAAGTAATAAAATAGATATTAATGAATACTATGATGAACTTGATTTATACATTTCATAGTATACTTGTGGAAAACAAGCAGCTGGAAATGTTGGTCCTCAAAATCTGGTAACTAAATTCAGAGAAAGAGAAAGAAATGAATGAGTGTAAAGGGCAAAATCATTTAAGTGTGCTGCAATATTACTGCTGAACTACTCACGTGACAACTCATCTCTGTGTAATCATAAGCATTTCCTGAATGTCTGCAAGAACAGTTGAGAGCAACATCTCACTCTTCTGTGTGCCATCCAGAAACACTGTATAAAGTGCAAAGACCTCACTCACACAATTCACCACAATATAAGTGATTTAAGTCACTGTGCTTATTGAGTGTTAAAATATTACAGTACCAATGTCATTTACAGTTTCTTCCATCGCTTTTCTGTTTTTCAAGTACATGGGCCAGACATAACCATCAAAGTAGCCTGGAGGATCCGGAGGGACATAGACTCGTGAGCTATCGATTAGAGAAAGGAAAAAGGTGAGACTCAGTCAAAACACTGATGTTCATCAAACCAGACTCATCTAACAGGAGCCTCGTCCCTACCTTCTTCTCTCTTTACATATCTCATAAGGGATCTGCAGGAAGTACCTCTTGTTGAACAATGTATTTAGTGGCCTGGAAGTACAACATGGATCCATGAAAACATGTCAAGTGCTCTTGATGGTGCAATCCATATTCAAAGTCAAGCATGTTTAGGTGATCCAGAGGTCATTCACGCAACAGAAGTTTGTTGCTATACTCACTGAACTGATATTACTGTAATACCTCAACATCTTAACATACAGGATTCAGAGGATTGTTCAGTGATGATCTAAAACACTCCTCTTTGCTGTGACAACCAAAAGAGCAAACATAAATTAAAGGCCTATTAAAATTTGCATGAATAATAGGATAGTAATTCTTTTAACTTAACGATTATGTAAATATACTGTCAATGTATCTGAGCATCCATAATATAATTAAATTAAAGTTTAAAATGTGCACCAAGTACAGTTGAGCTTCCGTTTGGCATATTTAAATTGGTTTATGTATGTGCATTGACTGGTTTTAATGTCAAGTCAAGCCGAAATTAAATCTGTTCATCATGTAAAGTGATTGTGTCTCTTCAGAAGACTCATTGCTTGATTTATATTGATTACGTTTACAATGACTTTATGAACTTTTAAAGCATCAAAGTTTTGGTTTTGGTTTCACAGACCTTCAAAGGAGGGACAGAAATCTCTCAGATTAAAAAAAATAAAAAATTGAATCTAATATCTGTGTTTCAAAGATGAAAAAACCTTATACAGGTTTGGAACGACAAGAGGGTGAGTACATGACTACAGAATTTTCATTTTTGGGTGAACTATAATGTCACAAGTTTGTCATAAAAGATTTTTTGCATCTGATGAGGAGCAAGATAGATAAGAGTTCTGTCCCATCTTGCCTTGCAAACATAACTGTACAAAAACTTTCTCCTGTATGACTTCCTCTTCATCTTACATAAAAGGTAGTCTGTTGAACAAAATTACCCATGATTAAAAATGAGGAATCCCTCCACTATAAGAACACACACATTGGATGGCTCAGATGCTGTGGATTTCACTGAAGGATCACGAGACATCATGAAGCCCTGAGGATCCTCCTGCCACGAGCCAATGTCTGCCATCATCCTGTCCATGTGCAGGGCGTCCAAAGCTGCAGAGGAGTTTTGTAAAAAAAAAAAAAAAAAAAAAAGGTTGCATGTTTTGCAAAACAGGACAACTGGCATGTTGAGAGACTGTTGAGATTAAACATAGAAAAGCAAATCTAAATATCAAATAACAAGACTGTTCTTACTGTCATATTGCTTAAAGCCACTGACATCAGCAGGGACCATTGAGTCATCCTGAGAAATAGACACAAATTAATATGAATTTGACTAACCGATCTACTGACACAGATAATGACAACTAAATTAAAATATAAAGTAGACGTAGTACCTTGAAAAAGTTGTCTTGAGAAATAACGAGGCTGTTATGCAGAAGCTCCGGGAGGCTTTTACTCAGCGTGGTCTTTCCTCCATTTGTCATCCTGTCAACTCATGTACAATTCATATATGCTGGGACTGAACATGGGACAACATTTGAACTTTATACACGTTTAGTTTACTCACCCACCAATTCCTATGATTAATTTTCTCATTTTAAGTCAATACCGCCGTTTTTTTTCAACGTGTGTTAACATTTCAACTTTTGCTAAGCAGCGGGAAGCATGCATTAAAGAGGATTGAGAACATTTTTGCCAGCGGTTAGTTAGTGGAGTTAGTAAGTGGACTTCAGCTCAAGAAACTCGTGTATGGTGCAGCTCTTCTTCTTTCTTCACTTACGGATCAAAACTGCTCTATAGCGCTACCTGCAGCGCTGGGTCCTCACTGGAGTACAGACCGTTACATTCACAACCAGTTTCAGTAGTATTCAAAAGGATAGCTCACCCAAAAATTTAAATTCAGTCATTATTCAATCACCCTCATGTTGTTCAAACCTGTTTGACTTTTCTGCGAAACAACATTTTGAGAAATCAATGGGTAATCAATTCTGCAAAAGAAAAATAAATTTTGCGCACGCACACACACACACACGTGTGTATACAGGTGCATCTAAAAAACATTTTTAATATCTAAAAATTTCCTTTTTTTTTTAAAGTGAAACTTTCTAGATTCATTACATGTATAGTAAAACATTTCAAAAGTTTTTTTTTTGTTTTAATTTTGATGATTAGAGCTTACAGCTAAATATTAGAATATTTACATTTGAGTTTCATTAAATGACCATCCCTACAGTATAAATTCCGGGTATCTTTTGTTCTTTGAAACCACAATAATGGGGAAGACTGCTGACTTGGCAATAGTCCAGAAGACGATTATTGACACCCTCCATCCACAAAGAGGGTAAGTCACAGAAGGTCATTACTGAAAAGGGTGGCTGTTCACAGAGTGCTGTATCAAAGCATATTGAATGCAAAGTTGACTGGAAGGAAGAAATTGGGTAGGAAAAGGTGCACAAGCAACAGAGATGACCGCAAGCTTGAGAATACTGTCAAGCAAAGCAGATTCAAACACTTGGGAGAGCTTCACAAGGAGTGGACTGAAGCTGGAGTCAGTGCATCAAGAGTCACCACGCTCAGACGTCTTCAGGAAAACAACGTCAGAAGCATCTTACCTGGGCTAAGGAGAAAAAGAACTGGACTGTTTCTCAGTGGTCTAAAGTCCTATTTTCAGATAAAATAAAATGTTGCATTTCATTTGGAAATCAAGGTCTGGAGTCTGGAGAAGACTGGAGAGGCACAGAATCCAAGCTGCTTGAAGTTGTGTGAGAAGTTTCTGAAGTCAGTGTGCTAAAGGAGCCCCGACCAAGTATTGAGTGCAGAAATGAACATACTTTAAAGAACTTGAACTTTTCTGTTTTGCGAATCCTTTTTTCGATTTATCTTAGGAAATATTCTAATATTTCGAGATACTGGACTTTTGACTTTCATGAGCTGTAAGCTCTAATCATCAAAATAAAAAATATATATATTTTTTATGTTTTACTTCACATGTAATTAATCTAGAATATATGAAAGTTTCACTTTTTGAAAT